CGAGTTGCAATACTGAAAGATGCTATGGGCTATATATTGAATGATCCAGAAAGCATCAAAAGAAGATGGAGGGAATGAATACAGAGTCACTGTACCAGAAAGAACTGACTGACATAGAAAAATTTCAAAAAGTACAATACGAGCAGATGGTTGTTATCTGCCATTGAGTCCCCAGTCACTGTATCAATCCATCTCATCTGGGGTCTTCTCCTGTACTGTCCCTCCACTCTCCTGAAAATTATGTCCTCCAGGGACCAGTCCCTCCTGGCCACATGCCCAAAGTATGAGACAGACCTTCAAAATCCTATCCTCCAAGAAACTTGGTTTCACCCTCTTCAAAACAGACCTAATTGTTTTCTTGGCAGTCCATGGTATGTTCAAGACTCCTCACCAGCACCACAACCTGAAGGCATTGATTCTTCTGTCATCCTTAATCACTGTCCAGCTCTCTGATGCATAGCAAGTAATTGCAAAGACTATGGCCTGGACCAGGCAACTGACAATGTTGTTTCTCAGTACTCTGGAGAGGTCCCTCACAGCTGATTTTCCCAGTGTAATTTGTCTTGATTTTCTGACTGCTGGTGCCAAGAGTGCTGACTGTGAAGCCAACCAAGCAAGCTGTCATTTTTAACAACCTCAATCTCTTCTCCATCTATCATGGTGCTGCCAAATGCCCCAGTGGTGAGAATCTTTGTCTCCTTGATGCTGAGCTTCAATCCACGTTGAAGATTTCAGTCCTTGACCTTCTGCAGCAAGCATTTCAGGTCTTCTTCAGTTTCAGCAAGCAAGTCTGTGACATCTGAATATCACAAGTTGTTGATGAATCTTCCTCTAATCCTCATACCACATTCCCTCCCATAAAGCCCAGCTTAACGAATGATCTGTTCTGCACATAGACAGAAAAGGTATGGAGACAGGATGCATCTCTGACACATCCTTTCCTGATTCTGAATCATGCACTGTTTCCCTGCTCTGTTCTGAGGACTGCTTCCTAGTCCGAGCATAGGTTTTGCATGAGCAATGCAATGGGGGCAATGGTAATGAAGAATGAAGTGGAGGACGCACTGAAGGAATTGGCAAAAAATAAGGCCCCAGGAATCAATTAACAGATGCAGCTATGGATATGCTCACCAGTCTATGCCAGAAAATTTAGAGGACAGCTGTCTGATCAACAGATTGGAAGAGGTGCATATTTATTCCCATTCCCAAGAAAGGTACTCCAAAGGAATGTGGAAACTAACAAACAGTATCATTAATGTCACATGCAAGCAAAATTCTGCTGAAGATCATTCAAAATGACTAAAACAGTACAGAGACAGGGATCTGCCAGAAGTTCAGTCAGGGTTTAGAAGAGGCCCTGGCACCAGGGATATCACTGCTGATCTGAGATGGATCCTGGCAGAAAGTTAAGGACACCAGAAGAATGTCTATTTATGCTTTATTGACTATTCAAAGGCATTTGAGTATGTGGATCAAAACAAGTTATGGTTAATGTTGAGAAGAATGGGAATCCCAGAGCACTTAATTGTGCTCATGCGACCAGGAGGCTGTTGTGTGAATAGAGCAAGGGAACACTTATTGTTGTTAGGTGCCGCTGAGTTGAGCATGACTTGTAGTGACGCTATGAACAAAAGATCTGAACCCTGTTCTGTCCTGCACCATCCTCACACTTCCTGACACACAGGAGCCCACTGCAGTCACCATGTCAGTCCACCTGGTTGAGATCTTCATCTCCTTCAGCGACCCTCCATCCTTCCCAACATCATGTTCTTCTCTAAGGAATCGCACCTCTTAGCAACATGTCCAAAGTATGTGAGGCGAAGCCTCATCATTCTTGCCTCCAAAGAGCACTCCAGCTGCACCCTTTCCAAGACATGTCTGTTCATTCTCTTGGCCAACTATGGGATGTTCAGTGCTCTGCTCCAACACCACAGCTCAAAGGCGTCAATTCTTCTTCTGTCATCCTTATTAATTGTCTAGCTCTTGGATGCATAGCTATCAACTGGAAAGACCATGTCCTGAATCAGATGCACCTTAGTCCTCAAACTGACATCACTACTCCTCAATAATTTGGAAAGAACACTACATGGTTTAAAATTAAGAAGAGTGTGTGTGTGTAGAAAAAGAGAAGAGAGTGTGTTAGGGTTGTCTTCTCTCTCCACATCTATTCAATCTGTATACTGAGCCAATTATTCAAGAAGTTGGACTCTATGAAGAAGAAGGTGGCATCAAGATCAGGGAAAGACTCATCAGTAACCTATGTTATATAAAGGACACAACTTAGCTTACTCAAAGTGAGGAGGAGATGCAGAAAATCAAATATAGCCTTCAATACAAATTACACCTCAACATCAATAAAACAAAATTTCTTACCACTGGACCAACAGGCAACATCATGAGAGATGGAGAAAAAGTTGAAACTGTCAACAACTTTAAGTGGTCCACAATCAACACCCTCGGTACCAGCAGTCAGAAAGTCGGGAGAAGTATTGTACTGGGAAAGTGGGCAGTTAGGGACCTCTCCAAATTATTGATGAGTAATGATGCCAGTTTGAAGACTGAGGTACATCTGATTCAGGCCATGGTCATTCCAAGCTATGCATCTGAGAGCTGGACAATAGGTATAACAGAAGAATTGATGCCTTTGAGCTGTGGTGTTGGAGAAGAGTACTGAACAGCCCACGGACTGCCAAAAGAACAAATATATCTTGGAGAAAGTGCAGACTGAATGTCCTTCAAAGGCAAAGATGATAAAGCTTCGCTTCACATACTCTGGTCATGTTGCTTTGAGGGATTATTCCTTGGAGAGACACATGATTCTTGGAAAGGCAGAGGGCTGGCAAAAGAGAGGAAGGCCCTCAACCAAGTGGATTAACATAGTGACTGCTGTAATGGGCTCTAATGTGTCAGCAAGTGTTAGGGTGGAACAAGACAGAACAAGGTGCAGATCTGTTGTTCATAGGGTTGGTCTGGGTTGTACTCAACTTGACAGCACCTAACTACAACAGTAAAGCTAAGAGGATGCAGTGAATATTGGCCTTTTGAGCAACTTCAAAGTCAATCTGCCATTACCTTCTGATGAACAGATGTTTAGTGGCACCGTGGAAAACGATTACTTGATGTCTTATCAGCACAATGGAGTGGTACTTGTGCCCTCACCCTTTCACCTTGGCATTCAGATCAACAAACCCAGCAGGACACCCTCCGAATCAAAGAAGTGTAACCACTCCATATGGTTCCTTAAATCATTGACTCTACACTGACTTCACTGGGGCTCCCAAGAAGCACCAAGCAAATTTAAAGCAAGGAGCCAAGGACTAGAAGATTCGAATCCATGTTTTGTTGGTCTATTATTAACAAAAACGTAGACTGAATTAATTAAATATAACCAACAAAGATTTCTCAATTACACTTGAGATACCATAAAAGGAGGAGCCAGCCAGTTCGGGCCCACTACTAGGATGACCCAGGAAAATACATTGTGATATTAGCAGAAAAGGGTGGTGTCTGTATTATGATTGGACCAGGCAGATTGTGGCTTAAGGAAATGGCTCAGGTGAGAGGCGGCAGGGCTCCCATCCACACTCTGGCAGCAAGAGGTTTCTGGTGGATCAGCAATACTCTGATGTCAGATGTCCTGGCACTGAGAAGATGCCACACCTCTGTCCTCTTAAACGTACACCAAGGGCAGAGGAAGGCAGTGCTGCCTCTGGGCCCAATCTGTTGAGAAGTAGCCCCTTCCCAGAACCCCCAGTCCCCACCAGCCTCATGCAGTAACCCTCCAGGGCTCACGCCTAACACACCATTCCTACCTCCCCCTTCCCCCGTCTGCCCTAACTGGCTGATGGAAAGGACCTTCACTTGGGAGCCTGAAGGTTGCTCTCATTATGTTTTTCACGTAAAATCAATTTCATTGATTATAGCTATGAATGATTTAATTTTACTTGTATCTAAATCAACATCCTCAGAAGCGATTACTGTCGGAGTTGGAACTGACCTGTAGCTGACCCTCCACTGGGATTCCAAGGCTGGAAACGGCATAGAAGAGAAGGCCCATCTTTCTCCTGGGAGCCGCTGGTTGATTCAAACCACCAGAGAGGTGCAGCCTTTGAGTCAGAAGCACAGCTTCCAACTTCCACCCCTGCTGCCACCACCACGGAGACCTTTCAAGTGCTAGTTTATGATGAAGGTGTTTCTGACCACGGTGATTCCATTTTCAATTGTTTTATAAGTACATGAAAATGGAACAATGACTAAGAAAGACTGAAGAATAATTAGAACACAAAGTCACTGCCATCTAGTCACAACCCACGCGGGCCAACACTCCAAGTTTACAAGGAGACTGTCTTCTCTCAGGGAGCTTCTGGTGAGTGGCTTTGAACACCCAGAGAGGTGTGACACTTGGGTGCACAGCACAACTCCCTACAGACTTGGCCACCAGAGCTCCCACGAAGAATGACCGTCTATGAGTCGTGAGGTGGTGAAGAGTATTATCTATGCCGGGGACTGCCCAAAGAACTATCAACTCTGCCTCAGAGGAAGAGCCAACAGGATGCTCCTTAGAGGCAAGGATGTTGACACTGTCTCACACACCTTGGGCATGTTTTCAGGAGAAGCTAGTCCTTGGGAAAGTCGCCATGCTTGGAAAGGTGAAGGGTCAGAGAAAGTGGAAGACCCTCAACAAGATGGGCGGACACAGTGACTGCAGCCACAGACTTAAGCATGTCAGGGATCGTGAAGGCGACACAGCAGAGGGCAAGGTCAGGTGTGCTGGATGGAGGACACTAGGAGGCGTGGTCGATTTGATGATACCTAACACCCTCAGAGCAGTATTTTTCAAGGGGATGGAATAAAAAATTCAACTTGACCTACCAAAGTAAATGTTCTAATCTTTTAAGATAAAACTAAATCACAGTTTAAAGAGATCTGTCCTGAAGGGGGCCTTTAATCAGAGCCCTCCCCCCTCCCCAGGGCCCTGCCCACCCCCCAGAGCCCCCCACCTGCAGCGAGAAGGTGAGCGCCAGGTCGGTCTCCACTTGTCCACTGGGGGGCAGCACAATCTCATGGGAGCGCAGCACCCGTTTGGAGCCCTGTGAGGAGAGAAGACATGAACACCTCTGGGGGCTTCTAACAGTGTCTGGACAGAAAGCCACAGACCAAGGGCCGGCAGGCATGAGACAGTGTCATGCCCAGAGGCAACGCAGGGCTAGGGCTATTCCACAAAAGAGCCTTGAAGTCCATGTCTGGATTGTACACAATCTGCTTTATACCATTCATTACAATAACGGCCACATAGCAACACCTTCCCAGTTCATCCCTGTGATTCTCATGTCTACTAATCCTTCTATCCTGCCTTCTGGGCTTCACCCTCTCCAAGTCCTGCTCTTTGACCTTCCATGGCTGGCTATTCTATAGGGTGATGTCTCCCTACGGTACTGCTGTTTGTCTGACCACGGACAAATGTGAGCCACTGGAAAGTATGCCAGCAGGACTCAGGGGTCATGGGGAACTGGGAGAACTTCACAATATGCCTGGGATTTCTGACAGTAAAAGATGAGACAACTAAAAAAAAAAAGATGAGACACCTGCCTCCGGGAGAAAGACACAGCACACAGCCACAACTAAAAAGGGCCTTGCCCGCAACTAGGCTACAAGTAGAGAAACAGGGCCCAAACAAGAAACTTTACAGGTAAAAAGTAAAATCCACACATAATAATGTGGAGAATGCCAAGAAATGCTGGTGATAGGCAGATGACCCATTTGAATAAAATTACACAGGATTCTAAACTCAGACTGTACACAGAATGAATCCAAGAGAACGGCCAAGTCCACCACAGTGTTACTGCAGAAGAAATCACCCAGGCCAGTTCCTAAGGCTAGGACACCACATACAGTGGGAAACAAGGTCCTGCTGGTACATACCTCAGGCTCTGGGGACAGCTGGGCACCATGGTCCTGGTCAGGAGTTAGTCCCTATCCCAAATCTCTGCCCCCTGTTTGCCTTAAGAACTGTGCCTGCCAAGGCCGTGCCCTGCCCACCACACTAAAGCGTCCCTGTCAATGAGTATCCACTGTCAATGTGATGATGGAAAGACGCTCCTGGAAGCTGTCCTTTCTCCTCAGAGGGTTCCCCTGATAAAGTATGACACAGCCCTTGACACTGTGCTCCAGAGATATAAAGCACTCAGGGGGGACCCCACTGAAGGCCATGTTCCCCAGGGAAGGCCATGTTCCAGGGGATACAGTACCCTCAGTTTGGGGCTGGGGTGAGGTGGGGTAGGGATACAGTGTCCCCATGGGGAGGTCATGGTCCAGAAGTACAGTGTCCTGGGGTGGGGGTATGTGCTCCAGGGCTATAGGCCCCTTGGGAGAGACCATGTTCCAGGGGACAGAGTGCCCTCAAGGGTCCATAGGAACCTCCTGGTTTATTATTTTTTTTTTTTTTGCTTCACTGTAATTCTACAATGAATTTAAATCCTGAGAAGTCTTTTTTGTTTCTCTCTCAGTATGACTCACATTGGCCAAAAAGGACTGAGGCAAGCCCTGAGGAAGGTCAGCTCCTGGGAGTTAGATAGTGGTGGGGGTAAGAGGTGAGGGATGGAGGTGAGAGGAGGTGAGGGGAGGAGGGGAGGAATGGAGGGG